AGCTTTCTTTCAACACATGGTTTAGTCATAGTTACCAAATCTTAGTTGAGGCAACCACGATTTGATTTGAGAGCGGAACATATTCATGCATGTGAGCCACCCCTAAATAATGCTCAGCGCATGTGTGTTTCACATACGAAGGGCGCCAGCTAAGCAATGCATACAGTCCCACTTATTGAATCGTTTGAATGCGCTAGTATGCCGACCATTGCATAAAATTTTTATGATAAAAACGATTCAATGAATAAGACTGTGTGCATGGAAATCATTGCTCCGCTACCGCTGTTCGTATATGGGTGAAACACGCGTGTGGTCACAGAGCGCTCAATAAGCTATGGCATGTCGATCACTGCGCTAGGTAGAGAAAGAAAAGTGTGTGCTATAACCAGGGATGCCGTTTGGATCTAAATAGATCCAATTGGATACATTTTTAGACGAATTTTTGCGGGATACTTATTTTTTCCGGTCAGTATAAATGTGGATACTTTTTTAAATAGGCCAAAATTTTATATTTCCTATAAAGTTTTTTTCGTTCAAAAATCGATTTTCATTAAAGATGGTAGAAAGCATTACGTTTTCTAAACGTATAAAGAATCGCTACTTAAGCGTGAAATTAAAGCATTTTATTTTTTGTGAACGAAGCAATGAACATATGAAGAGATCTCACCAAAATAGGTATAAGCGCAATTGCTTTAATTAGCTTAAAAGGATGCTTTAAGCAAGATCTTAATATACATATCGTCGTTTAAAGTACAAAACCGCGTATCAACAAAATGCAAAACCGCGTAATTATTTTCTGCATAAATTATTTTCTAGAGAGTAAAAACACTTATATTTCAAAATGGTTCTCTTTTTTATAAAGCAATCGCATTTCTGGCTAGTATATTTCAGGACGAATGGATAAGGATTGAGCCTAGAGCTTGTGTGAGCAAATCCAATTTTTGGCAGCAAATGTCAGTTACGCGGTTTTGCAGAATGACGATACGCGGTTTTGTACTTTAAACGACGATATATGTAAAGTAAATTATACTCTTGATGTAGTAATCTCTTTCATATCACATATCATTTGTTAATGATTTAAAAAGAAAGAAGATTTCAATGTAGTTTAAAAAACTAAATTTGATTTATTTAAGGAAACTTTTATGAATTTTACTGAAAAGACTTTAAATACACTCTAAAAAATTTTTGTGTATTTGCGCATATTGAGAGAGGTAACCAGTCTCCTCTTTTAATGTATGCAAATTTGCACGCCGTGTAATAAAATTAATCATTGCCTGTTTACTTTTACACATAAAATGTTTAAAATAAAGTAATGTTTATTATTAGTAGGAAATGTATTTGTAGTTTGAAAATTTTTGAAATTTTAAACATTCTACATATGTGTATTTATGTGTATATTTTAAAGGTCTCAAGTTCAAAATCAAATACTGAACATCCTATACGTATATTTATACAGATTCTTGTTGAAAAATAGATACTTTTCAGTAGTAGTTTTACATGCTCTTTTTAGAGTGTACTTGCTATTTATTATATTTATTTTGCAAAATACTTATGCACAAAAAATGTACTTTATAAATCGAAATTACAAATGTTTGATTTTATGCACATGTATTCCAAGTCCTTAGCATGGGTTAAATTATGTCTTTTTCATGAAAATGTTTGGTTTTCTTACAAGTTATGAGATGTATATGTAAAAAAAGAAAATTGGATACATTTGGATACATTTTTGGCTTGGTCAGGGATACATTTTCTTGAGACGGCGCGGCAACACTGGCTATAACATGCCTAGACTTGTTTGGCTCAGTTTCAGTTTTGCCATCGCCGAGAGTTGTTTCGGTGTGCGCATCACAGTATAGACCAGCGGTGCCCAAAGTTTTCAAATGGAAGTGCCCGCACCAATACATTGAAAACGCCCTATTAAAACGTACGAGTACACTGTAAAAATTCGCTAATTTACTTTTTGTTCGGGGGATTATTTGAAAAAAAAATCATACATTGTGCTTCGCCCTTGAAATTGACCGCCTTATTCCCACACCACTGACAAAACTCAGCGGCTGACTATTGCCTTTACTACTGCGCCTAATACTATGCCGCAAAATTTATTTTAAGCTGTCGTATGACAATTGTCAGTTTTATTGTTATGACCTACTGAGTAAGTGACAACGGCGAAACAATGTTTATATTGTGTTTTAGGCGCAGTAATTGTGACAATAGTCATATGATGAATTTTGTCAGTGTTGTAGGAATAGGGCGGTGAGAGTGAAAAAAAAAATCACTTTCCCACTTCTCTACTGAAGATATGTAATTCAGTTAAAATAAACACCAATTTTTCCAAGTGTTATTCATTTTTTGCGATCAAACGCAAGGCAATAACCAAATTTGCGTTAAGTTCTGAACACATTGAAAACGACGAGCTACAGACCACAGCTTCCAATTTGGCATTTTCATTATCTAAACGCTTTGTCGATGACGACATGATTTCTTTGAACGCGGCAGCGACATCATGAATTTGTATGAGTTTGACATAAAAGAAGAGGAAGAACCTTATCTGTCGCCAGAAAAATAGAAATAGATCTAATCTGGCCACAACCACAGCCGTCGCAAGTGTTAAANCGCTTTGTCGATGGCGACATGATTTCTTTGAACGCGGCAGCGACATCATGAATTTGTATGAGTTTGACATAAAAGAAGAGGAAGAACCTTATCTGTCGCCAGAAAAATAGAAATAGATCTAATCTGGCCACAACCACAGCCATCGTAAGTGTTAAAATAATTTGACAGCTGTGGTTTGTAGCTCGTCGTTTGCATTGTGTTCGGGCTATTAAAGATAACTGTCGTCAATATGTCCCAACAACGCATATGAAAGTGTTGTTGCTTTGTGCTTGTGCATATGCCAAGAAAAAAATTTGAAGCGAAGTAGAAAAAATTGTTTGTATATTTTGTATTGTTTCGCTCGGAGTGCTGAGTGTGTATATCAGCGCCCACCAAAGTGCTTTTACAAAAACAAATGTGCCCCGAGTGCTTAGGGTTTGGGCATCGCTGGTTTAGATAATGAAGATCCCTGCAAAAATCGTTGGGACATGTAGTCTATTTGTGGTAAATTGGAGTACTTACAAAAGTGTTCCTCTGTCATGCTATAGCGGACCAACTCGTATCTCTGCGCCAGCTTCCCTGCAAAAATCGTTGGACCATGTAGTCTATTTGTGGTAAATTGGAGTACTTACAAAAGTGTTCCTCTGTCATGCTATAGCGGACCAACTCGTATCTCTGCGCCAGCTTCCCTGCAAAAATCGTTGGACCATGTAGTCTATTTGTGGTAAATTGGAGTACTTACAAAAGTGTTCCTCTGTCATGCTGTAGCGGACCAACTCGTGTCTCTGCGCCAGCTTATTGTTTGTTATCCGATCACTGCTCGTGTTTTAACGAAACGTGATTGAAGTTGAGCATTTGAAAGCAGATTTGCATTCCTGGCTGTAGCTGAACGTGTAGAGATGCTCGCTGTTAGTTCTTAGCTTCAAGCATGTTCGGGTTCGAATGCCGTCAGAGGCAACATGTAATTTTTAATTTTTGGCTTGGATTTTATTAATTTTGAAAAAGCGTTTGAGAAGTGAAGAACATAAGCGTGTACAAACGAAAAAATATAACAACAATGCCATTGTTAATATGTTGGAGTAGTTTTGTGCTACTCTGATATAATGCAGGGATCGAGTATATGGTCCTGCCCTAGGACACCGTAATGTTAATTGGACCATATTTTTATATGAATTGTGGTTAATTTTGCAGTACTCCTTGGTCCTTAGGGCGTACTCTTTACACGCATGCATGGAGTAGTCGCGATTTTTGCAGGGGAAGCTGTGGCCCGTAGTTCGTCATTTTCAATGTGTTCAGAACTTAAACCATTCAGCTCTACGGATTGTGCCACAAAACTTCATTGCTTATAATATCAGAAAATAATGCAACGCCAGAACCAAAGAGACTAGGGAATAAATGTCCTGGTCGATGTGTTCGGGATTATGGCAGCCCTAATTTAGCATCTTGAGGCCGCACTTTGAATGCCTGGCGACAATGGTCAAGCTGAGCGCGTAGATTGAATAATTCTTTCATTCATAAGGTGCTCTACGAAAAAGAAAAATAACCACTGTATTTTACGAGAAGAGCAATATATTTACCGGTCCTTAATTTTACAGGTGCCTTAAATACTGAAAACGTGAAAATTTTCTTGACTCCTTGACTCCTTGTTGTTTTTGTTTTCTTTTGTGACAAAAAATTATTATTGAATCACGGGGTATGGTAGCAGTAAATTCCACAATCTGCTTAACCTCAGGTAGTTAATATGCGCCAGAAAAGTGACAATGAAACTACCTTCCTTTTATATCATGGGTAAAACGACAGTTTCCTTTTTTTAAACGAAAATAATTTGTAATGAATTTACCAGTCTGTGTTTTTGTGATTTATTTAACACGTGGTGTAGAGCTTAGATACGTATAACCTCTGTTAACCAAAAATAATTGAATGAATTGATTAGTCTTTGTATTTGTGATTTATTTAAATAAAACATGTTAATTTTAGTTGAAAAATGTTACCCGTTTTTAGCGCTTTTTTTTGCCAATTTAGCCAGTTGGCCCAAAAAGTTCTGGCAACACTGGATATGATTTAGAAGCATATATGTAAATGAAAAGTAAACACCAACAATTCGCTCTCAGTGGTGAAAGGCATTGCTGTATGGACGTTGTTCCTGTTTTCGCATCATAATTGAAAGGTTTCGGCTAATACTAACATTTTTACTAAAATGAGGTAAAAGTAATAACAACAAAACTGAGTAATCAGTAGTTTCTTATGTATATACTTAATCTCGCTATCAAATATCGCTTCACACATTCTGATACTTTATTTCAGATACATATGTGAATATAATCACTGCCCTGGCTATTTCCAGTAAATTCAATATCCATCGCTATTTTTATTTGCAGCATATTTAGGTCTAATACTTTACTATCGCTTTAGCCATGGCATGGCTTACAGCCTTTGCCTCCCTTTCCACCTCCTCCACCACCGACTCCATCAGTAACAACAGGCACCGGCTTAACTACGATTGGCTGTATGACGAAAGTTGGCTGAATTACCTTGGATGGTTGTGGAGCTGGATGCACTGGTCGTGGTGGTGGTGGGGCAGGATGAACTGGCCGTGGTTGTGGGGCGGGGTGAACAGGGCGTGGAGGTGGAGCAGGATGAACAGGACGGGGTTGTGGAGCTGGATGAACTGGACGTGGTGGTGGGGCGGGATAGGTTTGTACGGGCACAATAATAATTTTTGGAGGCGCCGGCGGAGGTGGCGGTGGTGGTGCAGGTGCTGGATGATAATACACTGGTACTGCCTCTGGTGCTGGATGGTAAACTACAGGTGCTGGAGCAGGCGCCGGGTGATAATGTACTGGTTGTTGTGGTTGCGCCACAGGCGCGGGAGGTAGAAATGGATTTTTCTTAAAAGTACCGATCACACTTGTAGCGGTGGATATGACGACAACTACATATAAAAAGTATCCGAAAGGACTTGCGCTCTCCCACTGAAACATTTTTCCTGCTGTTTCATCCCGTGCGCCACACCAGATAGCTCTTTACTTAATATTGAAACAGTGATACTGATAGTTGTCTATTTATACATTCAAATGTAGCCTTATTCGAAGATGGGTAATAATACTTGCTTATTAAGTATTTTAAGTATACATGTTATTAGCTTCAAAGAACATTTTCCTTTTGGAAATGAAAATACATATGAGTCTTGTCTGTTAATCGTAAATTTTTAATTGAACAAATTTTAATTGGCTACCAGAACTGTGCGCAAACGGCAAGCGGGAGTCCCCAGAACCGGTCGTTAATCGATAATTAACTAGAAGTAATGGAATTTTAAATTTGCGCAAATTATAGATTCGCAAGTATTGATCACAATAACGAAAAGACTAAGACTTCAAATAACTATTAAATATGTTTAATTCAATTGCATTTAATGAGCTACAAAATGTTTCAAGGTAAATGTATTTCCCCTTTTCCTGTATAAGATTGTTTAAATTTCGTTTCATTAAAATATTTTTGAACCGCAATGAATTATTACACAAAATTATGTTCTGTCATTTAGTCGCTTTTCTAATTTTTCGCTTCTAAAATTGAGATCCATTCGTTTAGCCGTGAGTAGAGCGTCGACGCCGCCATGTCAAATGACCGTAAAGGCCGGTCCACATAGAACTTTGGCGTTGGCTTTGGCGTCGGCGTGGATTAACAGCTGACTATGAATATACACAATTATATGGGCCACAACAATTATATGTCCACATGTCAACGGAAACGCCAACGCCAAAGTTAACGCACACAAAAGGATGGGCATCTCTCATCTTTTTGCGCGCGTTGTCAATCAGCTGTTGCAAATACATAAAATTATGTGAAATATTTTTAATTCTTAATCAAATGTAGGTAAGAAATATCATTTTTCATGCAATTATTGATATTAAATATTAGTTTATCTGTCATTAGTATGTAAATCTAGTACTCAAAGCATTCGATGTCAAGCGTTCATTGTAGCAAGCATACTTTTAACGTGCGTTCTGTCAAACTAACGCCAACGCCAAAGCCAACGCGAAAGTTCTATGTGGACCGGCCTTAACTGATATGACAATAGCTTTGTTCCACACGATTTCCGGGCTGTTTCGGTAATTAGAGAGTAAATATTAGCTACTCTCTCACAATTGTAAAAAATGTGTCAAAACGCATAGTTGCCAACTTAGTGCTTTAAGCACTAGATTTAGTGCTTTTTGAAAATTAAGACGCCAAAAAAATGGTTTAGTGCCTAGTGCCCTTTTTAGTGCTTTTTTCTGAACTAAAATTTCTGAATTTACAAGAATCTACAAATTTTAATGCACTAAAATGCAAACCTTGATTGATAAAAAGATGAAGTTGCAAACCCACGTTCTTGCGTTCTTGTTAAATTGTATTCGCGTTGAAAATGATAGCACGCAGATAAGTTAAGTATTTATTTTTTTATTTTCTTGATTATTGATTGATTACACAGTTCGAAAAATTTTATCTTTTTTTGCCACCTAAGTGATCGGTTGTTGTAGATTTTTCGGTGCTGAATCCAAATCTGGCTGCAGAATTTCTCTACCACGTCAGAATTTTGAGATATCCGAACCTCTAAGTGTAAAAACACGGTTTTTCGCAATATTTGAGGTTATATTATAAAACAACAAATTTTTTCGCTCATTTCTACTTTGAGTATCATTAAGTATTACTCGTCCCCTTTAAAAATCGTTTGTTGCGATTCGATTGTGTTTTCTCCAGATTTACCAGTTTTAATGTGCAGTACTGCGGTATTACTTCGTAAGCATGAATGTGTATTTATTTATACATGTAAAGTGTTAATTTTTTTACTTTTGTTTACCACAAACTGTTATGAAGAAAGAGTATCCTATGATACAAAAAAAAATTTAGTACTTTTAGTGCTTTAAAACGCTCTTTTTCCCAACGTTTGGTGCTTTTTGAAACCCAGAAGTTGGCAACACTGTCAAAACGTTCTAAAAGTGCCCAGAGCGGGAGAAACACAAAAAACCACATTTCGTGCTCGGAACAGTGTTTCCAAAAGTGGGGATTTATCTTCAAAATGAAGAAATTTTTCATAAACAATCAAAAAAATCTTCACATGAAGATAATTACAGCAAAATAAAACTTCATACAAAAAATCTTCACTATGAAGATATCTGCCAGCACTTGAAGATGTTCTTTTTTGAAATGTTGGCAAGAAATGTTTCGTTTTTGTAATCAACTTACTGCTGCAGCTAGAATTCTATTGCCAAATATGGTTTTTGGCAGTTGCCACTGGTAGACGACAAAAACGTATCGCTTTTGTCATCAGTTTACCTTGCACGACAAACTAACGTTGTGAATTTCCACAGGATAAAAATATGGAGCGATATTTGTTAGAACAAAAAGGAAAGTAATTTTGGTTTATAAATTTAAATTAACAAATTAAATTTTCTATAAATAACTATAGGAGCATCATCATCATCCGATAGCGAGTATACATAAATGCACAGGTCTGGGGATGGATTCTGTAACGAAAATTGATAGAACTTCGTATCTTTTGTTAAAAGAAACAATAGAGTAGCTGGATTTTCGCATCGATGGTTCTTAATGTTAAAATTATGTATGTATTTGTTATAATTTTTACTGCCCTTATGCGTCAAATTTTTTAGTGTAATTTTATATGAATTGATTTATCCTATATGAGTATAAACTAAATTGTATTTTTTTATGAAACAAAAAAAATATATTTCGCGCCAATAAAACATTCAACAAGAAACATGTACATAAAACTGGGTCCGAGTCAGGGCATCCGTGGTCGAATCAAGCTCGATTCGAAACAAGGCATATTCAACAAGGTAGAAGTGACAATTCAGTCGAGCTCTCTCATAGCTGTCTGTAATGTCAAAATATGTAAACAAAGAAATTAACCCTCTGTTATGCATTTACCATATTTAATAGAACTCAACATTTTTGAAATGAAAGTTTTTGTACATAAGAAAATATTTAAAATCTCATTAGAATCAGATTCATTTTATTTACTGCATTTTCGGTTTAATGTAAATGTAGAAATGCATACTTACTCAAAATTACACACTAAATGAAACACACTCATTTATAAAACCGTTTTGACAATTTTCTAGCTTTTACTATCCCAATGTTTTTGAGCATTTATTTTTTTATTCAAATACTTAATTCTAAAGTATATTAGATATTAAAAAAAGTTTGATTCTTCTAAATTTACATCAGAACCTAACTTCAATAATTTAGCAATTAAATTTTTGCTATTCAAAATTTCCTTTCCATTAAATTTACTAAAAATTACTTTCAGTTTCTTTATGTCAACAAGGAATACTGGTTTAGGTTTTATCAGACCACCATTTGAAATTTGGCCTATCCATCTATGTATATGAAAGGGAGATTTTCTTTTCATATTCGGTATAATAAATCCTGCACCTGGGACAAAACGCGTCCACTTAGAAATACTTGGCTGCGATAGGCAACAAATAAAGTCACGACCACACGTGAAGAGTCTCCTAATGAAACATCGCAGCAATTTGCCCACCGTTGTCGCTTCACTTGACAATTCGAAGGTTTAAAATAACGCACAAGTTTGTTGTCCAGGCTCTTGGCAAACACAACGCACCGCTCGCAATTCCTTTTCATTTTATTATGTATTTAAAATCAGTCGCAGAGATCACAATTGAAATCTTATATTAAAAAAAAAATGTTGAATAGTAAAGGGTTAAGAGTTGACATTTCAGTCGCAGTTCAAAAGAGAGAAATGTCGAAATCAATTCTAAATTGTTATGCCTTGATTCGAAACGAATGAAATGAAATTACAGCTATTTACCCTCAAATACTTTTTAGATTGAAAAAGCGAACTCGCTACCAAATTCTTTAATCTTTAAAAGATTTTTGATTAAAAATTGATAATTTAAAAAGGGCTTAAAACTGTTACTCTTCATTTTGTTTGTTTGATTAAAATTAGATTTGAAATGCTTGGAATTTGTAGACCATTCGTTTGGCCTCAAAAACGTATTGCAACCAAAAAAAATATTTACAGAAACAGCTGATATACAATAGATGCAATTTCACTTTTAAATTGGTTATGGTCAGAGTTAACTTTTTACTTTTATTTTAGGTGTATTCGATGAGGAATTTTGTATACACTGCGCTTATTTAAATCTCTTTGTTTTCTTTCCGGAAAATATTGGTAGATTTTTAGCCTTTCTTGGTAAAAATGGTAGAAAATAAAATACAGCTAAAAAGTTGGTAAATCTACCAATAAAGTGGTAAAATCCGTGCACTGTCTGTAACTGTGAGTTTTCAAGTGTACACTGAAAATTGTGTACATTCTTCATTTTGAGATTCAGGAAGTGTGAGAGTGAGTTTTAACTGTCAAAAGTATGTACACTTCCTCATTTTGCAATTCAGCAAGTGTGAAATGAGTTTCAACTGTGAAAATTGTGTACACTTCTCTTCCGAAAAACTAACAGCATTTTATTCGATGAGTTTTGCACTCTGTGTACACGGCATTTTCTCACAGTTATGATAGGCACTAACAGCGAATAAATCAGACGGGTTCGGTTCGCGCAGCATTTCGCCACTAACGCAGTGATCGGACTTCTACCATATTGTGGTAGATCTGCCACTTTTTTGAGCATCTACCACATCTACCACACAAGGTCTGAAATCTACCACATATTCGCGCTTTTGAGTAGTTTTATTTTTGCTTGACATAATTTTCTTAATTTTAAGAGAAAAAATTGTCCAACACTAAACACTATATGGTAACAAGAATGATATAATACAAGATTTCGAATTCCCGACGACGATGAAATTTTTCAAGCAAAAGTAAACAAAGCCGAATGGGAGAATAAAACAAAATGTAAGATAGTAAATTTTCTCAGTAATCAATTTGTCGACAGGAAACGCGGTTTTATTGTGTTAAATTGCAAAATAAATGATTTAAAAAAATAATCCGAAAATGTTAAAAAAAATG